TTATTGGGCCATCGGAAGGCCGAAAAGAGGCACATAGCCTCTTGGGCCGTCTTGGAGGCATCTTGGGCCGTCTTCGGCCATCTTGAGGCCATCGTGCGCCCTCTTGGAGGCTTCTTCAATGGACTTGGAGGCATCTTGGATCTTCTTGGACGTAGTGAAGGCCACGTTGGACAACCTTATGCGAGCTTGGAGGCCATCGAGGCCGTGTTTGAGTCGTTGGTGGCGCAGCGGGCGGGCCATTCCGGTTGGCTCGCGCGCTGGGCCAGAGCCCCAGGGGAAGTTTTTTTAACAAGAACCATAACAAAACCAGTAGGGTTCAGCACGCCAGGCACCGCTGTGGCAAGACCACAGGGGGCGGCGGATCTAGTGGCCTTCGACTCACCACCCACCCCGCCACCGTGCCTAGGATGCGTTTTTGGATTGTCTTTGGGGCCTCTCAGTGCCTAATTTGGGCATCTCATGGGGCGTTCTGGAGCACCTGGGGGGGTTTTGGGGGCCTGTGGGAGGTCTCGCAAGTCGTCTTGGGGCAGAGGGCTCGAAATGTCGGTTCGTGGTTCCCTTCGGTGCTTCTCTTGGGGCCCTTGGGTCGTCTTGAGGTCCTCTCTGGCGCCTTGGGGCCATCTTGGGCCATCAGGTGGCCTTCTTGGGGCCGTCGTACAGCCGGCCCAGATTAGTAGGTCGACCCTGCCAAATCAAGGGTACCCTTGTGTCTTGTGTCTCGCGACCAATGCCTCCTGCATTCCTATGGCAATGTGGCCCTCGGAAGGGTCTTTTGTCCTCTCGCGTGTCCTGTCCAATGAAGTCCGACTGTAGGCCGTTTTGATCGCATCGGGGGCGACGCCTCGTGGCCTTCTGGGGCCTTTTTGGGCCCTCTTGGGGCCGCCTTATACCGTCCCTGGGCGCCACCGACCGACGTGGCCACCAGTCGGGTCTCGACTCGGGCGGAGCAGCTTTTCACGAATCGGGGAACGGGTCGCAGTAGCACACGGGTCGCAGTAGCACACTCGGGCCGGACGAAAGGGGTGATAGGGAAAGGGGGGGTTAGGACATTTGTAGCATGTAGCTGGTTTCGGCCCCACCGAGGGGCCCATTCCTTGATACATGGCCGCCTTCGGCGCCGGGAGGCGCCGGGAAAGTCAGTTACGTGAGCTGTCTCACCACCCACCAAACCACCCCAACCCAACCCGAAGGCTTCAATCTGCCTTCCATTTCCAGTGGGGTGGGGGGGTCGGGGAACATTGGAAAAACACTTATGGAACCCGTACCCCCCCCCAACCCGAAATTCGGGTCTTCGGGGTAGCACACCGGTAGCAGTAGCACACGGCCTAACGACGGCCCCAAGACGGCCCCAAGACGGCCCAAGATGGCAGCAAAGCCCAGCAACAGGCTCCTTGGACGGCCCCAGGGGGCCCAAAGAAGACACCCGAGAGGCCTCGAAGAGACAACGTACACATGGTACCATGTTTAGTGTTACGATTTCGGAATCGGGGCGCTGGCCTTTTCGGTCTTCAGAGCGTCTACGACAGCCAAAGAGGACCCCAAACTCGCCCCAGTACGGCCCAGAAGGCGTCCAAGAGGGCCCCAAACGGGGTTCAGGAGGGGCTGGGCCCAAGACTCCCAAGGAGTCTACCTGGGAGACTCCCGACTTCCAGACCGCCCCACTATTCCAAAGACAGCCCAGGGGGACTCAAGACGGGCCAAGAGGGCCACGAGACGACTCGGCAGGCGCACCCCCGACGGCTTCACAATGGCCGCGAGAGACACAGGACGGGCCCACTCGCAACACTAGTTCGGCGACGGTCAGATCATCAGCACACGTTTGTGTATGTGCGTATGTGCATATGTCTGTATCAAGATGAACGTATCATTCTGGACAGGGAGAGAGAGAAAGAGAGAGAGAGGGAGAAACATACAACGAGGGAGGCAGCGATATAGAGAGAGCGAGAGAGAGGGAGAGAGGGAGAGGGAGAGGATACATCTGTACACACATCTATCTATATATGTACATGTCTATCGATATATATATATATATATACCTATATATCAATATATATATATATATATATATATCTATGTATATATATATATATATATATATGTCTATCTATCTATCTATCTATATATATATTTATCTATCTATCTCTCTATATACACGTACATATATACATTTATATATATATATAGTGTATATATACATATATATATATATATTATATATATATATATATATATTCGTATATATATGTATATATATACACATATATACATGCTGGGTGTATATCTGGGGAGAGAGAAAGGGACACTGCCATAGACATATAGAGATACGTACACAGATATATATATATATAGAGAGAGAGAGAGAGAGAGAGAGGCCTTTGGCTCATCCCGCCACGTTCATGAGTCGTGGATAACGGGCTCCTAATCTACATCTTTGGGTCTCTGCGGGGGCATCTCGGGGGCATCTTAGAATTGCCTTAGGGGCCCCCTGGAGGCTTCCTGGGTCTCCTGAGGGGGTCTTGGGGGCCTCTGAAGACCTCTTGGTGGCCTCACGGCGATCCGGGGGGACATCTTAGGGAAAAGGGCTTTTCGGATGTTCCCCTCTTTGGCCCCGCTTGGGGGGCCTCTTGGTGGATTGTGGCGATCTGAGGACTTTCAAGAAGCCGAGTTTGCTTAGATACTACTGCAGCCGATGCGTCTTTGATATTTTCGGCCTCTTCGGCCAGCCCCAAGGGCTCACAAAGCGGACCAAGATGCGCCCAAGGGGGCTCCAGGACGGGCCCTGAGACCATCCTGATGCCATGTTAGAGGTATGGAATTCCAGCCACGCTCCTGAGGCCTTTGAGCAAGTCACGCGATACGCCTGGATAGTAGCCCCCCAGAGCATGCGAGAACGCAAAGGAGCGCCCAGAACTCTGGGGTCTGGGCTCCTTTAACGAGTTTTTGCAATACTTAACGCAGAGAGCTCGAAAAGACTTGAGGACACTTCAATCAGTGTCCACGGCCCAGTGGCGTCTGCGTGCGTATATGTGTACACATTCCTATATTGATGCATATGTATGGGTACACACATATATATATATGTATGTATATATATATATATACATACATACATACATACATATATTGTAGTGGCCTTCGGCCAGTGCCGCCGATCCAGGGCGCTCCGACTGATGTGATCCTCCTTCGCCCTCGTCCCTCCTCTCTTTTCCCTTCCTTCCCCCTTTCATTCCGCATTTATCGAAGACGCCTACGGCGAATCACCGCCGCCCCCTGCCTTTTTGGAAGCGCCTATGTGGCCGAACGTTGAGGCCAGACCTGCCAAGCTATCGGACCACGTGTTCCCCGAATCGGTTTGGAAAGCCTTCGGGGAACACGTGGGCATCTTGAAGGTCATCTTGGCCGTCTTGGAGGCCTCTTGGGCAACGATCTTTGGGGCTTTTTGGGCCGTCTCGGGCCAGCTTCGAGCCAACTTCGGCCATCTTGGTGGGTTCCTGGCACGTCTGAAGCCGTCGGAAGCCGTTTGGGGGGCCTCTATGGGCCGACTTGGGGCCCGCTTGGAATGCTCCAGGGCCGTCTTGGAGGCCATCTTGGGCGTCTGGGAGGCCATCTTGGGCGTGTTGGAGGCCTCTTGGGCCCTCTTGGGGCCCTCTAGGGGCCATCTTGGAGGCCACTTGGGCCATCATGGGGCTCTCTTGGGGGCCTCTTGGGCGATCTTGGGGGCTTCTTGGGCCGTCTCGAGCCGTCGGAGAGCCGAAAAGGCGCAAATGCCAGAATCCTTCAAAAACCAAGAAAAATCAATGATTTTGGCCTCTTCGGACTCTCCTGGAGGACCTCTTGGAGGCCTCTTGGGCCGTCTGGGAGGCCTCTGGGGGGCCTCTTGGGCCGTCTTGGGCCGTCTTGGACTCTCTTGGGCCGTTTTGGAGGCCGTCTTGGACCATCTCGGGCGGACTTGGAGGCCATCTTGGGCCATCTTCGCGATTTGTTGAGGATGTCCCGAGCGAAACGGCCGTTTTGTGGAGGATTGTTTTCCGGATTGAGGTCTTTTCGGCTTCTTCCCGGGACCCCGGCGGGACGGGCCGAAGCCCACTGGGGAGTTCTTTTAGAAAAAGAACCAAAACCAAAACTGAATCATCCAGCACGCCGTGCACCCCTGCAAGCAGGGGGCGGCGGATCCTGTGGCCGTCGGCCTATCCCACCACCGTGCGTGGGTGGTGGGTCAGAGGCCTCATGGACGCTGGTAGGGATATCGTGGTTGGCCGGGACCTCTGGGGGCCTCTTGGAGGCCTCTTGGGGCTTCTTGGGGGCCTCGTGGGCCTCTTGGGGCCACTTGGAGGCCTCTTGGGGGTCTCTTGGGAGTCTCTTGGGGCTTCTTGGGGGCCTCTTCTGGGCCCCTTGGGGCCTCTTGGAGGCTTCTTCGGAGCCTCTTGGTGCGGGAGGGGTGGCACTCGAGTTCGGACCCCCCTCGGAGGCCACGATCCTTGTGAGGGGATGTCAAAAAACGCATCCGCCGGAAACTCGCACCCCGCCCCCCCCCCACCCCCCACCCCCCCTTCCCCGGCAGAGCCACCCCGGCAACCCCCCGGAGGCTGAGGCTCAGCCTCGAGGCTGTAGCTGAGACTCCTTGTAACTCACACGCCGGATCGGCGGATTACATAGATATAATCATAATGTATGCATCTGCGTATTTTTCATTACATGTTAGGTCTTATATCGTAAAGTCGCAATGGCTTGTGGGGCGACGTGCTGTTGGGAAGTCGCACTGCGTACAGTTTAGGCAGTAGCCTCTGAGCTTCACTGGACCCCCCCCTGGACTGATTCGTTTCTTATAGTTTGGGCTGACACTCGCGCCTAAATTTGCCGCGTAAGGTCGCGCATGAGCGCCGTCTTCGCCACGCGGTGTGCCACGCCGGCGGCCCGCGCAAGCCGCGGCGTAAGGTTGCTATTTCTGTCTTGCGTGAGACTATTATTTTGTCGCCCAAGTCGTTTCAAACTCCTGCCAGGGCCGAGTCTGCCGCTGCGTAGCTCCGCGGCCTCGGGGCCGATGCTGTCCGCCTCCGGGTCTTCGCGCTGCGGCAGCCCCCCGCCAGCCCTGGACACGCTGCACCCGGGGGCCTCGCCGCCCCCACGGGCGCTTTCGCGGCTGGGCCCCACCTCCTCGGCCTCTGGCAGCACCCGCCCAGGGCCGCCACCGCCATCGCCGGATGCCGTCACCACAGGTCCCTCCCCGTCGCTGCAGTCGCCCGCCCGCCCTGGCCCCTCGGCGCTGGCGCTGGACCACCTGGCCTTGGGGTCCGCGCCCCCGCTCCGCAGCCCCGGGCGGCCGGGGCCTCCACCCCCAGCGACAGACCCCACGCTGTTCGGCCCAGCGCCGCTGGTGCGCAGCCTCGCACGCCCAGGCTCCACTGCGCTGCCCTCTGGCATCTCCCGCTCTGAAGCGCCGCCGCTGGCGCCCGACCTCACGCACATGGGGCCCGCTGCGCCAGCTCGGAGCTCCACGCGCCCGGGCTCCCCGGCGCTGGTTCCCGACCCCGCTCGCTCTGGCCTTTTGCCGCCCATGCGGTCCCACAGCCGCTCTGGGCCCACTGCGCCGGCTTCCGGCATCATCAGGTCTGGTCTTTCCCTGTTGGCACTGGACATGGTCAGCCTAGCCTCCAGCCTGTTGGTGCGGAGCCACGTGCGCCTTGGGCCGTACTCCCCGGCCTCCAGCGATTCTCGCTTGGGCTCATGCCTGCTGGCACTGGACTCCACCAACTCTGGCCCGGCCACCTCCGCGCGAAGCCACGCGCGTCTGGGCTCGTCGTCGTTGGCGTCTGACTACGGGCACCCAGGCCCTTGCCCGCCCTTGCGGAGCCACGCGCGGCCTGGGCCGACCTCCTCAACCTTCCAGACGTCGTACCTCGGGCCGACGCCGCCAGCCCTGGACCCCGTGAGCCCTGGCAGCCCGCCGCCCTCGCGGAGCCCCGCGCGGTCGGGAAGCCCGACCCCCCTGTACGGCCTGCAGAGGTTAGGCCCGCCCCTGCCCGCGCTGGACTTCGCGGCCACGGGCCCCCCGGTGCCGCTGAGGTCGCCCATGCGCCCAGGCCCGCCCACCTCCGCGTACGGCTGCGTGCGGCCCGGTCCGCCGTCGCCGTCATCCGACCACCTCTATTCCGGCCCGGCGCCGCCGGCGCGCTGCTCGGCGAGGACGGGCTCGACCTCCTCGGCCTCCAGCACCATGCGCCTCGGGCCGACCACCTCGGCGCCAGATCCCACGTCGCCCGGCCCGCCGCCGCCGCCGCGGAGTGCTGCGCGCCCCGGCTCGCCCACCTCCTCGTACGGCCTGAACCGCCTGGGGCCTCCCTCGCCGGCGCCCGACCTCGTGCACACGGGCCCGACCGCGCCGCCCAGGAGCCCTTCACAGCCTGGGCCGTCAGCGCCATCATATGGGCTGACTCGGTCGGGTAGCCCGCTGCCGGCGTCTGACTCCTTGGTCCTCGGGCCGCCTCCGCCGCCGCGGTCCTCTGCGAGAGTTGGCCCAGCCTTCCCGCTTTTTGGGACCGCTCGGACGGGTTCGACCCCGCCCGCGCTGGACCACGTACAGCCCGGCCCGCCGCCGTTGCTGCGGAGTGCGGCCCACCTGGGCGCGCCGCCGTTGGCGCCCGACCCCTTGCACCTGGGTCCGCCGACACCGCTCCGCAGCACCTCGAGGTTGGGTTCGCCAACATCAGTCCTGGACTCCCTGCACCCTGGCCCAGCGCCGCTGTCGCGGAGCCTCTCGCAGGCTGGGCCGGCGACCTCGCTCTCTGGGCAGTTAAGGGTTGGCGCGCCACCGCCTTCGCTGGAGCACGTCAGCTTCGGCTCCCCGCTGCCGCCACGGAGCACGAGCTGCCCAGGCAGCGCACCCCTTGTTCTCGACCACCTGACACCTGGCCCGACTCTACTGCCTCGTAGCTCCGCTCGTGCTGGCCCCACGCCCTCATCGCTCGGCACCGGCAGGCCCGGTGCGACGTTGTCAGCGCCAGACATGGCGCAGCCAGGGCCCTCCCTGCCTCTCCGGTCGTTTGGGCTGACTGGGCCGTCGCTGCCAGCCTCTGGCTGTTTGAGACTCGGCCTGTCCTTTCCTGCCCCAGACCTCGTGCAGCTGGGCCCTGCCGTGTTGGCACGGAGCTCGGCGCGGCCAGGCGCGACCCTGCCAGCGACAGACCCCGTGCAGATAGGACTGTCGCCGCCACCCCGCAGCATGGCGCGCCCCGGCCCCTTGGCGCCAGCCTTCGATCTTCTCTGCCCTGGCCCCGCGCCGCCAGCCCGCAGCTCTGCGCGGTCGGGCGCGGCTTCCCCGTTGTTCGGCATGTCGCGCTCGGGGTCGCTGCCGCCAGCTCCAGACCATGCGCAATTGGGGCCTTCGACGCTGACCCGCAGCCCCGCTCACACAGGCTCTCCGCCGCTTGCCCTGGACCTCCTCACGCTGGGCTCCCTGCCGCCATCGCGCAGCTACTCGCGCCCGGGGCCGGCGGTGTCGCTACTGGGCCTGGCACGCCTTGGCTTCGTGTTCCCGCCGTCAGCCATGGAGCACACGCACTTGGAGTCGGTCCTGCCTCTTCGCAGCTTCGCTCGCCCGGGACCCGCGCTGTCGGTGCTGGACTCCGTGCAGCCTGGCAGCTCAGCCTCGCTTCGGTCGTCCGCCCACGCTGGGTCGGCGCTGCCCGCTCTGGACCTCGTGCACACTGGCTCGTTGATGCCTCCGAGGTCTCGCGCACGTCCTGGGCTGCCGGTGCCAACCACTGACTTCGTGATGCCCGGACCTGCCTCGCCAGCGCGGAGCCCTGGGCGCTCAGGATTGCCGATATCTCTCGTGGGCATTTCGCGCCCTGGCCTGGTGCCGCCTGCGCCGGACCCCGCGGCGCCGGGGCCTGCTGTGCCACCGAGAAGCACTGCGCGCTCGGGCCTTTCGACGCCCGCGCTCGACCCCCTGAACTCGGGACCGCCGCTGCCTCTGCGCGCCCCGGCTCGCCCTGGCTCAACGGCCCCGCCCTCCGGCCTGGCACGCCCGGGCCCCGTGTCCCCGCTGCCGGCGACGGAGTCCACGCACCCAGGCCCGCCTCCGCCGCTCAGGTCCACGTCGCGCACAGGGGCTCCGACGCTGGCCCTGGACCTCCTGCACCCTGGGCCCTCGCCGCCCCCGCGCAGCGCCTCCCGACCCGGCGCGCCGCCGCCGCCCTCGGGCGTCTGCCGCCCAGGCCTGCCGCCTGCAGCCCCAGACCCCGTCCACCTGGGCCCGCCCCTGGCACTCCGCAGCCGTGCGCGCTCGGGGCCCGCGACGCCCGCGCCTGACCTCGTAGAGCCCGGCCCGCCGCCGCTGGTCCGCAGCCCTGCTCGCGCTGGCGCGTCTGCTTCGCCCCCCGGCGTGTGCCGACCTGGCTCCCCGCCGCCAGCCCCCGATTCCCTGCACCCGGGGCCCTTGCCGCCGCCGCGGAGCTTTTCTCGCCCTGGCCCGGCCGCGCCCGCGACCGACCCCCTGCACCTGGGGCCCCCGCCGCCCCCTCGCAGCCCCTCGCGCTCTGGCCCCCCCTTGCCCACCTCCGGGCAGACTCGCCCCGGGCCGCCGCCGCCGGTGCTGGACATGGTGGCCCCGGGGCCCGCTCCGCCGACCCGGCACCTCTGCAGAACGGGGCCATCGACCTCGTTCCCGGACACGGTGAACACGGGCTCGCCGCCGCCTCCGCGGAGTTTCGGCTGTTCGGGACCTCCGCCGCCCTCGTCTGGCGTGTCGCGGACGGGCCCTCCCCCGCCAGCCCCAGACCTCGCCCTGCCCGGGCCAGCCGCGCCGCCGAGGAGCCTCGCGCGTCCTGGCCCTTCGGCGCTGGCGCTGGACCACCTGCGGCTGGGGGTGCCGTGGGGCAGCCGAATGTCGCAGACTCCGTCCTCCGAGGCCAGAGTTTGTGCATACAGTGGGGGCCCATGCCAAGAAACACCCTGCTCGCCTCCAGGGTGCCCTGGGTTTCTTGGGTTTCGATGGTTTGCAATGGAAAGCGGGACGCTCCCACACCAAAAATCAATGGACGCCCCTTGTGGAAGGTTTCTTGTGGTCGGGCTCCCACTGTACCCACCGCGTGGCGAGCGGATGTTCAGAAGGCAATCCGGGGAACCTGTATTTTTTCAATTAGTTTGGCTTTCCTGCGCCTCCAGAATCACTTGAGGCCGCTGGAGGTGCGTGGGGGACTGCCGGAGGCCACTGGGGGGCACTGCGGCCACACGGGTGATGACGAAAAGCTCCCAGGAGCTGAACGGATGTCCCTGTACCCCTATGAGGCAGTGGCTATGGGTATCCTTGGGCTACCGGGGGGCCCGAGACACTGCCCCCCGGAGCCCTGGCACATTGGTTCTTCACGCGGTGGATCTGTATGAACTTCGGCAAGGGGGGGGTCCGTCCTGCTCCCCCTCCCCCTCCTCTCCTTTACAAGTACTTGGTCAATACGAGCGCAGTGGGGACGCGCACCAAGAAGCCATATTGTTTTTTAGCAGGGTGCCCAGGGTTTATTCACTCTCAGCGATGCTCGGTTATTTCCCCCCATCGTTAAGAAACTGCTGCCCCCGGAGTACCCCGGGTTTATCCCCCAACCGCACCTCGCGCATTTCCTTATCACGCCCGGGGAACTTCTGGGGCCAGGGTACCCAGGGTTTCTCCGATGGCAGCCCATGGCTAAGAATCCGAGACCCTGGGCAAGAAACTGTTTGGATTTCCAAGACGGGGCTTCTTGCGGCCGCGTCCTCACAGTACTACTATCCTGCCTCCCCCGAGGATGGCGAGGGAATGGCTCACCTCCGTCCGCGTACTGCTCCTCACACATCTGATTCTACAGAAGGATGGGCAAACTTCCCAAGGGTACCCTTGCATCCTTGCCTCCTCGGTGCATCCTTGGCCACCTTCGTTGGCCAACCTCGTTCGAACAACGTTCACATGGCCCTCCAAGGCCCTTGCATCCTTACCGCGCATCCTCATGATACGAGCTGACTGTATTGTTATATGTGTTCAGCGTTTTCTGTTAATTCGGAGCGTTTTCGGTGTCTGAATGATGCTGCCGCTACATCGTTGGTCTCATTTCAGGATCGGCGCTTTACCCCCGTCGTTCACAGGCACACTCGCCCCAGCGCGGGATACTTTTCCGGATCCGAGTCCTGCCCCCTCGTTGTCGACCCCCTCCTTTCCCCTCCTCCGCCTTCCCCAGGTCCCCCTGTTCCGCTCCTTCCACTCTGGTTCCCGCTGCTGCTGTTCGTCCCAGTCCTTCCACCTCCTCCTCCTTTTTTCAGTATCCCTTAAACGATCCCCATCCCAATCGGGGTTAGGCCCCTCGAAACCCGAAGGGAACGGCCTACATCCCCATCCAGGGGGGTACGTCGGCCAGTGGGGCCCAGGCCACGCCGCTGGGGATGGGGATCGGTTAAGCGATACTCATACATGTTTGCTCCAGACAGCGACGACCCTTTTTGTGAAAGTGCACTAGGGTGCACATGGCTGTGCTTTCCGTGCTCTTCCTGCTCTTCGTGTCGCCAGAATTTCATTCCCGCGTACCTTCTGGTTTTTAAAGAGCACGCCCCACCGCACTTGCGGCTCGCCGTGTTGTCAGAACTCCACTCCTGCATACGCTTCTGACGCACAAATTATCCCAGTGCGACCCTACCTAGGAGTTGGAGCATCTAGGAAAGCAGCATCTACATCTACACCGACAGCTACATTAACATCTACACCTGCATCTACATCAACATCAACAGCGATACTCACAATTACATATGCATCTACACCTACATCTACACCTATGTATGCATGATATGATATGCTATGTTATGCTATGCTATGCTGCGCTGTGCTATGCTAAACTAAGTTATGACATGATGTGATATGATATGCTGCGCTATGCTATGTTCTGCTATGCTATGCTGCGCTATGATATGTTGCGCCATGCTATGCTATGCAATGCTATGCGATGATATGCTATGATAATGCTGCGCTAAGCTGAGCTAAGCTAAGTTGAGCTAAACTAAGTTAAGCTAAGCTAGGCTAGGATAGGCTAAGCTAAGCTACGCTAAGTTTAGCCTAGGCTGAGCTAAGCTAAACTAAGCTAAGCTCTGGGCTATGTTACGATATGCTGTGCTGCGCTATGATATGCTACGCTATGCTATGCTGTGCTCTGCTATGCTAAAGCTCAGCGAAGCTAAGATGAATGTAAGCTAAGCTAAGATAAACCTGAACCACGATGAAGCTAAGCTAAGCTAAGATGAAATAAGCTAAGATGAGATCAGCAACGCTGAGCTAAGGGGACGTAACTGGGGGGGGGGAGCGGCCCCCTCCCGTCTGAGACTTCCTCCCAATTTACTCAGGAACGGCGCTCCCGCTTGAGACTTCCTCACAAGTTAGTCCGGGTCAAGTTGCGTTGTTGCCTCCCCGGGTTACAACAACAATGGCTCCCGCTTGAGACATCCTCCAACTTTACTCAGGACGCCCGCTCCCGCCTGAGACTTCCTCCCAATTTACTCAGGATCGGTGCTCCCGCCTGTGACTTCCTCGCAATTTTGTCAGGACCCCCCCTTCCGTCTGAGGCGTCCTCATAACTTGCTCAAGAAAGGCGCTCACGCTTAAGATTTCCTTGCGCTTTAGTCTAGACCCCCGCTCCCGCCAGACATCCCTTTTTCAGGAATTGCGCTCTCGCATGTGACTTTTTCGCAGTTTATTCAGACATCGCGCTATCTACGCTCAGGCACCACGCTCGCGCCAAGGACGTCGTCACACTTTACTTAGGAATCGCGCTCTCGACCTACTCAGGCATCCCGCTTGAATGTCCCACCCGCCCGACCCGCCCGTCAGAGGATCGCCCGCCCGTCGTGGGCTGCCGCCAGAGACTTCTTTCGAGCGTTCGCACTGTTACTTTCCTGCTCCTCCCTCCTTCTGGGCCGCCTCCCCCCTCCTTCCGATTCCCTCTCCCTCGCACGTCAGCTGATGTTGACCTTTCATTCCTGAAGAATGATTTCTGTTGGTCCCCCCCACTGGTGCGCATTGTTTTTTCTCAGTCGAAGTGCGCCCCTCGACGCTCGCCCCGCGGCCCCTGCTGGTTCCTCTCACCCACCCTGGCCCTGCAGCGCTCTAGGAGATGGCATCGGGCACCACATTCGACTCCATCACCTCGCCGAGCAGCACCAGAGGTGTTACATGGCGTTGTTTATGGCGCGACCCATGGCGAAGTCTTTGTTAACCTGTGTTGGAATGGCTTTCGCAAGCCATGGCGCAGGCTGAACCGCAACTCACGGCACAAACCATCGTCGTCCCTCCCTCATGCCCCTCTTACCCCTCCCTTCCTCCGATCCGTTCGTCCTCTCTTTTTGTATTTTCCCTTTCGTTTCCCTGTTGAGGGGCTTTTCAAATTACACGTGGCCAGGAAGGAATATAAATCCCCAGAAGAGGGTACGATCGAAGACGAAGAGGGCGGGTATCCGGGGTTCGGGTTATGCATGGTGGATAACACGGGGGCCCGTAGGAGCTAACAGTCTTGTAATGATTGTTGTTGTTGTTGTTGTTGTTGTTGTTGTTGTTGTTGTTGTTGTTATTGTTGTTGAATTCTCATGTCTGCATGATAATTATTGTTGATCCCCCCGCCGGTGCACACTGTTTTTTCTTAATCAAAGTGTGCTCCATCGACGTTCGCACCCTGCTTTTTGACAGGGAAAGTCTTCCTGGTCAAACCGGGCCCCTGGCCCCCGGGTTACAACAACAACGGTTCCCGCTTGAGACTCCCTTACAATTTAGCCAGGACCCCCGCTCCCGCCCGAGACTTCCTCGCATTTTATTCAGGAATCGCGCTCTCGCTTGGGACTTCCTAAAAAGTTCAGGAATCGCTCTCCCGGCGCTCTCGAGTCGCGCTCTCGCTGCGACTTACTGAAGAATGGCCTTTCGTTGGTATTTCCTGCAATTTGCCCAAGGCACCCAGGCACCCAGGCACCCAGGAGTCGCGCCCGTTGTGGCCCCATGTGCATGCCCTTCGGGGCCCCGCTGTCGCCATTTGTGTCCCCCTCACTGTCCTACGTGGCCCTGTTGCTACCCTCAGTGGCCCCATAGTGCCTTCTGTGGCCCCGCATTATCTGCACTTCGTGGCCCCCGCTCGTTCGCGCTCTTCGTGGCCCCATACGCATTCCCTTCGTGTCCCCGCTGTCGCCCTTCGTGGCCTCCTTCGTATCCTTCGTGGCTCTGCTGTCGTTCTCTCTCGCTCTCGCTTTCGCTCGTCGTCGCCGTCGTCGTCGTCGTCGCCGTCGTCTTCGACGTCGTCGTCGTCGTCGTCGTCGTCCTCGTCGTCGTGGTCGGTCCCCTGTCCGTCCCTCTTGGGGTCGGGTCGACGGTCCGCGGCCGCCCCGCCGATCAGCGCTGCCGCTGGCCAGGCCGACGGTCCGCGGCCGCCCCGCCGTTTGCCGGGGCCCGGCGTGCAGGGAAGAAAGGTATACCCCCCAAAAGGGGTTCGATCGAAGACGAAGAGGGCGGGTATCGAGGGTTTGGGAAATCCGCGTTATTGGACACTCGAGCATATCAGGGCGAACAGTCATAAACTTGTTGAACATTATTAATTCTAAAGAATAATTATTGTTGGGCCCCCTGGTGCACCCCCCCCGCCGCGCCTAGGCCGCAGCCGCGTTTTCATCATTTTCGTGAGGAAGCCTCAGGTAAAACGATGTCATCCAGATCTGGTTGTTTTGTTCCCCCCCGCTTTCCCTTGCAAAAAACACTATAAAATGAAATTTCTTGTTCAAATATAATCAAATTTCAAGAATCCCTTGCAAAAAATAAGGTAAAGTGGACATTCGCGCGCGCAAGACGAAATCCTTCCAAAAGCTTAGTGTTCGGAGCGA